AAATAAGAGCATTCTGCAAACCAGTGAATTTTCCAACCGAAAGCTTTCAGTAAATCAATTCAAATATTTTAACACCAGTGTTCGTTGCTCACTGGTTCAAACATAATAAATCCAATCTGAAATCATTGGCACAGCAAGTAAGTCAATTCCAAATGAGCCATGTCATATTCTTTAAACAGCTCTGCAAGTGTCAAGCTTGAAAGTGTCAAGATCATTTATCTTCCTTTCTTAAATCCATTACTCTCTCCTCTGCCAAAGGCAGTTTACCTCATTTCCTACACTATCTGCTTTATTTTATTTTTCAGCATTTCAGCATCGTCAGACTAGTCCGAACGAACAGATTGGAATGGAGTTAACCAGTGACCAATTTTCTACTTTGCAGACTGCTCTTATTTTGTGTGGGGACAAGATGGAAGATCACTTTCCTGCACTACAGGAAAATAGTGATATAATCATTGCTACACCTGGCCGTCTGGATCAGGAGCGGACTGACAACTCATGGGACCCCCGGGCAATAGGGGATCATGGGGGGCCTGTGTCCTTGCCCAAACTCATAAAAGCCTATGAAAAAGGTACCAGGGGCATCTCATGGGGCCCCCTACTGACCACGGGCCCTCAGTCAGTGCCCGAGTTTGCTAATGGTCGGTCCGCCCCTGGTTGTTGCTACAAAGCTAAGTGCTCACTTAAAGCTGGCCTTTATTTATCTGTTGTGCTGTAAAGTCTCAGGTACAAACAGTCATCTTTGTGTCTACCAAACACCATGTTGAAAGAGATGCTGATGATGTCCACCTCTTTCTAGGAAAACCCTTTAAACTGGCAGATGACCCACAGTTTCAGATCAAGAAGTGGATGGTGCTCTAGGACGAGTCCCACAAAGTTTGATCGATGATAAAGATGTTCTGCTGATCACAGATCATGAGCGGTTATTAGAACTGCAGAACCTGCATGGCATCTCTGAGAATGCTTACAAACGGCAGCAAATCCAGACGAGCCCCAGGCTCCAGTGTCTGTGAAACGTGTCAAAGAGGCCAATTACAATCAGTTGGGAGTTCTGGTCTCGCCCTGCTGGTGATGAAAATTTTGTTCTGAGCAGAGCACCAAATAGCAGATTCTCAAGCAGAGAAAATCACAGCAGAAGAGGCATTTCCACTAGTGGTGGAATGAAAAAGCTGAAAAATAAAACAAAGCATATAGTGCAGGAAATAAGGAAAACAGCTTATGACAAAGAAAGAGCAATGGATCTAAGAAAGGAAAGATGGAGAAAAGATCTTGACACTTGAAAACTTGACACTTGGATTGTTTTTTAGAACATGAAATGGCTGATTAGGAATAGACTTACTTGCTGTACAGATTGGATTTTTTATGATTGAACCAGTGTCCAACGTTTGCAGGTGTTCTGGGAGCATGGGTTGAAATACTTGAATACTAAAACTTTAGGTTGGAAAATGTACTGTTTTTGAAACTGCTCTTATTTTGTGTGGGGACAAGATGCAAGATCATTTTCCTGCACTAGAGGAAAATACTGATATAATCATTGCTACACGGCCAGGAATCTGAAGTTACGCAGTGTGGAGAATGTCGTTTTTGATGAAGCAGACAGACTTTTGCTGAGATAGCCCGTCTTCCAGAAAATCGCCAAACCTTGTTTTTCTTAGCCACTCTTCTTTAGATGATGCTAGAATTTGCCCGTGCAAAAACCCTAGCTCCCAGAACACCAGCAAATCATTTGTCACTTGTTAAATCAAAATAAATCCAATCTACAATCATTGCACAGCAAGTAAGTCTATACCAAATGAGCCATGTCAAGTTCTAAACAACACTCCATGTGTAAAGCTTACAAGTGTCAAGATGTTTTCTCCATCTTTCCTTTCTTAAATCCATTGCTATTTCTCTGCCAAAAGCAGTTTTCCTCATTTCCTGCATTATAACTATCTGCTTCCGTTCTTTTTTCAGTTTTTCCATTCCACCGCTTTGTGCGTGCAGCATCTGCTGTGATTGTTTCTGCTATAGTTTCTGCTGTTTGGTGCGCTGATCAGAGCGGTATTACTTCTCCAGCAAGGCGAGAGTGGAACAAGGGATGTTACTTCCAATTGATTGTAATTGGCCTCTTTGACACTTTTCAAAAACACTGGCGCTTGGGCTTGGTCTGGATTTGGTGTAATGTTTGTAAGCATTCTCAGAGATGCGATGCAAGTACTGCAGTTCTAAAGATCGCTCATGATGATCATCAGAGAAAGAAAGTGGTGGGGATCATAAACATGAGATGTTTCATCATCAGCATCTTTTTCAACATAGTGTTTGGTGGACACAAAGATTACCGTTTGTACCTGAGGCTTGACAATGCAGCGCAAAAGCAGTAGAAACACAGCAGGTTTATCTTCTGCCCTGAGATGAAAAAAGGCCAGCTTTAACTGATCACTTAGCTTTGTATCAACATACAGACGGATTAGCACAGGTTCCATAAAACCTGCACGGGCAAATTCTAGCAGCATCTTGTTAGGGTGGCTGAGAAAAACATGTTTTGGCGATTTCCTGGAAGACGTGCAAGGATCTCCTGCAAGCTACCCTGCAAAACGTCTGTCTGCTTCACATCAAAACCGACATAATCCACACTACTAACCTCAGATTTTCCAGGTACGGCCAGGTAAAGGAATGATGATTTCAGGATTTTCCGGTAGTGCAGAAAAATGATATTGCATCTTGTCCTAACAGAAAATAAGAAAATCTGTAAACCAGTAAATTGCTTTCAGTAATAGTAATTCAAGTATTTTAACCCTTGCTCCCAGAAAACCAGCAATCGTCTGTAACTGGTGAAATCATAATAAATACAATCTAAAATCATTGCACAGCAAATAAGTCTATTCTAATTGAGCCATGTCATGTTCTAAACAAACACTCCAAGTGTACAGCTTGCAAGTGTCAAGATCTTTTCTCCATCTTTCTTTTCTTAAATCCATTGCTATTTCTCTGCCAAAAGCAGTTTTCTTCATTTCCTGCAGTATAACTATCTGCTTCCGTTCTTTCTTCAGTTTTTCCATTCCACGCGTTGTAAGAAATGCTGCTTCTGCTGTGATTTTCTCTGCTTGAGTTTCTGCTGTTTGGTGCTCTGATCAGAGCGGTATTACTTCTCCAGCAAGGCGAGAGTAGAACAAGGGATTAACAATGCTAAAGATCGCTCATGATCTGTGATCATCAGAGCATCTTCAACATTGATCAAACCTTGTGGGACTCGTATGGGAGCACCATACGATTCTTGTCTGAAACTGTGTTTCTCTTGCCAGTTTCAAGGGTCTTCCTAGAAAGTGGTGGGGATCATAAACATAAGATGTTTTATCATCAGCATCAACATAGTGTTTGGTGGACATAAAGATGACCGTTTGTACCTGAGGCTTCACAATGCAGAAGGTTTATCTTCTGCCCTGAAATGAAAAATGGCCAGCTTTAACTGATCACTTAGCTTTGTATAACACATCAAAACCGACATAATCCAAACTACGTAACCTCAGATTTCTGGCCGTGCATCCGACAGCCAGGTGTAGGAATGATGATTTCAGGATTTTCCGGTAGAGCAGGAAAATGATATTGCATCTTGTCCTAACAGAACATACTGTAAACCAGTAAATTGCTTTCAGTAATAGTAATTCAAGTATTTTAACCCTTGCTCCCAGAAAACCAGCAATCGTTGGTCACCGTTAAATCATAATTTATTAATTATTTAATTATTTTTATAATTATTTTTTACATAATTATTTATTATTGGATTTATCCAATCTAAAATCATTGCACAGCAAGTAAGCCGTGCCATGTCATGTTCTAAACAACACTCCAAGTGTACAGCTTGCAAGTGTCAATATGTTTTCACCATCTTTCCATTGCTATTTCTCTGCCAAAAGCAGTTTTCTTAATTTCTTAATAAGATATGCAGCTTCTGCTGTGATTTTCTCTGCTTGAGAATCTGCTCTTTGGTGCTCTGATCAGAGCGGTATTACTTCTCCAGCAAGGCGAGAGCTTCCTATTTTCCTTCCTTCCTTCCTGCATTCCTTCTATCTCTCCATGCTTGCCCTTCCCTTTCCTTTCATCCCTTATGGAATTTCCTTCTTCCCCTTCTCCTCCATTCCATTTGCTTCAGTTTCTCCCCTTCTTTCCTTTCTGTATTACTTTCTTCCCTTTCCCCTTCCCTTAATTATTTCCTTTCTTTTCCTTCCTTCCTTCTTACCTTCTCTACTTCCTTCTCTGTATTCCTTCCTTCCTTCCTTCCTTTCTTCCTTTTTACATTTCCTTAACTTCTCCCTTCTCTTCCGTACCCTTTCTTTCTTTCCCTTCCTTTTCTTTCCTTCCTGCTTTCCCTGCCTTGCTTCTTTTCTTCCTTCCTGCCTTTTTTCTATCCCTCCCTCCCCTTTCCTTCTCTTCGTTTTATTGTTTCTTTTCTTTCCTTCTTCCCCTTTTTACTCCTTTCCCTTTGCTTGAATTCTCCCCTTCTTTCCATTTTTGCAAAGTAAAGAAAAAGAAAGGGAAGGAAGGAGAGAAGGGAAGGACGGAAGGAATGAAGGAAGGAATGGAGATTGAAGGAGAAAAAAGGTAGGCAGGGAAGTAGAAAATGAAAGAGGAGGGGAGTGAATTAAGGAAGGAAAGAAGGGAGTGGAGAAAAGTGACGGAGGGAAGGGAAAAATGGAAGGTTGGGAAGTGAGGAATTGAAAGAAGGAGAGGAGCGGAGGGAGTGGAGAATGGAAAGAAGGAAAATGGAGAGAAGGAAGGAGGGCTGGAATGGGAGTGAGGTAATGAAGGAAAGGAAAGGAGGAAGAAAGGAAGGAAGGGAGGAAGGACGGAAGTAAGGAAAGGTAAGGAAAGAAGAAATGAAAGAAAAGAAAGAAAGACTGGAAAGGAAAGGAAGGAAAGGAGGGAAGGGATGAAGGCACAAAGGATGGAGAGCAGGAGGAAAGTAAAGAAATTTAGGAAGGGACGGAGAGAAGGGATAGAAGGACTTTGTGAGCGGAAAAAGGATTGCCAAACCTTGTTTTTCTCAGTCACTCTTCTCAAAGATGCTGCTAGAATTTGCCCGTGCAGGGTTTACTGAACCTGTGCTAATCCGTCTGGATGGTGATACTCTTTGGTCTATAAGTGATCAGTTAAAGCTGGCCTTTTTTTTTCATTTGAGGGCAGAATTTAAACCTGCTGTGAGCGGTTCTTTCGACATCCATTGCATCTTTGCACTGCATTGTGAAGCCTCAGGTACTTTAACGTTCATCTTTGGTTGACACCAAACACCATGTTGAAAGAGATGCTGATGATTAAACATATTATATGTTTATGATTTCCACACGTCTTTCTAGGACCTTAAAACTGGCAGGTGATAAGATCAAGAAGAGGATGGGGCTCAAGGACGAATCCCACAAAAATTTTGATCGATGTTGAAATTTCTCTGCTGATCACAGATCATGAGCGGTCTTTAGAACTTGGAGAACCTGCATTGCATCTTGAGAATGCTTACAAACAGTACAGCAAATCCAGACCAGCCCCAGCTCCAGTGCCAAACTTTGTTTTTCTCAATCACTCTTCTCAAGATTTTTGCTGCTAGAATTTGCATTTCACGTGCATGTCTTAACTGAACCTGAGCTAATCCGTCTGGATGTTTGAGATAAAGCTGGTCAGGAAGGGGTAAAAGTAAGTGAATCTCTATGTTTAATGTGAGGGCAGAAGAAAACCAACTTCATCTACCGGCCGTTGTATACATTGTGAAGACTCATTTGAACAAACGGTCATCTTTGTGGCCACTTAGACCCTTTGAAACTTCTTAAAAGTTTAAGTCCAAGAAGCGCATGGTCCTAGAGGACGAGTCCCCACAAAGTTTGATTGATGATGAAGAGCACCGAATGGTAGATTCTAACAGCAGAAAAATCACAGTATAAGTAGCATTTCTTAAAAAGCGGAGGAATGAAAAAGCTGAAAAATAAAAAAAAAAAGCAGGAAAGGTGGAAAACAGTGCTTTTAGAAGAGAAGTATAGCAAAGGATTTAAAAAGGAAAGATAGAGACTTGACACTTTTAGTGTTGTTTAAAGAACATGACATGTCTCATTTGGAATAGACTTCCTTGCTGTGCAATGTTCGTAGATTAAATTTATTATGATTTGAACCAGTGAGCAACGATTGCTGGTGTTCTGGGAGCATGGGTTAAAATACTTGAATTAATATTACTGAAAGCTTTAGGTTGGAAAATTTACTGGTTTGAAAACTGCTCTTATTTTGTGTGAGGACAAGATGGAAGATGATGATTTTTTCCTACACTGCAGGAAAATCCTGATATAATCATTGCTACACCTGGCCGTCTGATGCATGTGCACGAATCTGAAGTTACACAGTGTGGAGAATGTCTTTTTTTGATGAAGCAGACAGACTTTTGCTGAGCAGCTGCAGGAGATCCTTGCCCGTCTTCCAGAAATCGCTTTTTCTCAGTCACTCTTCCCAAGATGCTGCAGGAATTTGTCCGTGCAGGTCTTACTGAACCTGTGCTAATCCGTCTGGATGTTGATACAAAGCTAAGTGATCAGTTAAAGTTGGCTTTTTATTTCATATAAGGGAAGAAGATAAAAACTTGCAGTGCTTCTACATCTGTTGCGCTGGTACAAACGGTTATCTTTGTGGCCACGAGACCCTTGAAACTTCTTGAAAGATTCAGAGCAAGAAGTCGAATGGGCTCTGGGGAGAGTCCCACAAATTTTGATAGATGGTGAAGATTCTCAGCTGATCACAACTGTATCGCATCTCTGAGAATGCTTACAGAGGAAAGAGCATTAGATTTAAGAAAGGAAAGATGTAGAAAAGATCTTGATACTTCCAAGCTTAAGTTTGCAGTGTTCTTTACAACATGACATGACTCATTTTGAATAGACTGACTTTTGTCTTTTTTCAGCTAGACTTTCATACCCCCAAAAGCAGCTGCTACACTTTACTACTACTAGTAGTCTTAGCCTTCTTCCGCTCACAAAGTCTTTCTTTCCCTTCGGTCACTCCCATCCAGTTCCGTCCCTTCTTAATCTTCATTTCTTTCCTCCTGCACTCAATCCGTTGTGCCTTCATCCCTTCACTCCTTTCCTTCCATTCCTTTCCAGTCTTATATTTTGTTTCCTTTCCTTTCTTTACTTCCGTCTTTTTTTCTTCCTTCCTTCCTTTCCTCCCTCTCCTTCCCTCCTCCTTCCTTCCCTCCTTTTTTCCTCCTTCCCTCTCTCCATTCCCTCCCCTGCTCTCCTTCATTCATTCCCTAATTTCCTGCCTTCCTTCATTCCCTTCTTTGCTTCTTCCTTTCTCTCCTTCCTTCTTATCTTCCTTCTTTCCTCTTTTCCTCCCTTTGCTATCCTATCCTTCCTTTCTTTCTTGCCTCCCTTTCTTTTTTTCCCTGCCTTCCTTTTTTCTTCCTTTTTTTTACTCCCTTCCTTCTATGATGCTGCAGGAATCCCTAGTCCCTTCCATTTCTTCTTTCCCTCCCTCCCTCTTTTCCCTAGCTCCTCTCTTCCCTTTCTTCTTCCCCTTCTTCCTACCATCCCTTTACTTCCTTTCATTTTTTTATTTCCTTTCTTTTCCTTCCTTCCTTTTCCTTTCATTCTTTCCATCCTTACCTTCCCTCCCCGTCCTTCCCTGGATCTTCTTTTCTTCCTTTCCTCCCCTTCCTTTTATCCCAATCTTCCCTCCTTCTCATTTCATTGTTTGTTCCCCCTCCCCTTCCCCTTTCTTCTTCCCTCTCCCTTATTCCTTCCTTCATTTCCCCCCATCCTTTCCTTCATTCTTTGCTTTCCTTCCAGCTTCCCTCCCCTCCCTTCCTTTCCCTCCCTCCCTTCCTCCCTCACTTTCTTCCTTCCTTACTTCCTTTCCTATCATATCCTATGATATCCTATCCTTCCTATCCTTATTTTCTTTCTTCCCTCTCAACCCCTTCCTTCCTTCCTTCCCTTCCTTTCATTCTTTCCTTAAGAACCTTCTTTTCTTCCTTACCTTTTTTTTCTTCCTTTCTTCAATTTCATCCCTACCCTCCTTTTTCCCCCCTCCCCATCTCCATTTCTTCCTTTCTTCCTTTCCTTCCCTCCCATTCCCTTTCTCTTCCCTACCCTTTTCTTTCCTTTCCTTCTTCTTTCCTTCTTTCCTTTCTTCTTTCCCTCCTTCCTTCCTTCTTTTCTTCCTTTTTTACTCCCTTCCTTCTATGGCTCCCTCCCTACCCCCTTCCATTCCTTCTTCCCTCCCTCCCTCTTTCCCTAGCTCCCTCTTCCCTTTCTTCTTCCCCTTTTCCTTCCATTCCTTTTGCTTCCTTTTTTTTTTTTTATTTCCTTTCTTTTCCTTCCTTCCTTCCCTTCCTTTCATTCTTTCCATCCTTACCTTCCTTCCCCTTCCTTCCCTTTTTTCTTTTCTTCCTTTCCTTCCCCTTCCTTTCCATCCCAATCTTCCCTCCTTTCATTTCCCTCCCTCCCCTTCCCCTTCTTCTTCCCTAATTTCCCCTTATTCCTTCCTTCTTTTAATCCCATCCTTTCCTTCATTCCTTGATTTCCTTCCCAGCTTCCCTCCCCTCCCTTCCTTTCCCTCCCTCCCCCTTCCTCCCTCCCTTTCTTCCTTACTTCCTTTCCTTTCCTATCATATCCTATGATATCCTATCCTATCCTTCCTATCCTTTCTTTTCTTTCTTCCCTCCAACCCCTTCCTTCCTTCCTTCCCTTCCTTTCATTCTTTCCTTCCTTACCTTCTTTTCTTCCTTTACTTCAATTTCATCCCTACCCTCCTTCCTCCCCCCCTCCCCCCCCTCCCCATCTCCATTTCTTCCTTTCTTCCTTTCCCTCCCATTTCCTTCTCTTCCCTACCCATTCTTTCCTTTCCCTTCTTTTTTCTTCTTTCCTTTCTTCTTTCCCTGCCTTCCTTCCTTCTTTTCTTCCTTTTTTCCTCCTCCTTCCTTCTATCACTCCCTCCCTACCCCTTCCTTTCCTGCTTCCCTCCCTCCCTCTATCCCTCGCTCTGTCTTCACTTCCGTCTTCCCCTTCTCCTACCTTCTCCCTTTGCTTCAATTTCTTCCCTTCTTTCTTTTATGCCTTCCTTTCTTCCCTTACCGTTCCTACCCGTCCTTTCTTTTTTTCCTTTCCTACCCCTTCCTTCTTTTTTCTTTTCTTTTCTTCTTTTCTTTCCTTCTTTTCTTCTTTCCTTCCCTCCTTTTTTCCTTCTTTCCCTTCCTCCTTCCCTCTCCTTACTCCCTTCCTTCCCTTCCCTTCCTTCCTTCCCTTCCCTTCCCCGATTCCATACATTTCTATCCTCCTCCCCTTCCTTCCTCATTTTTCTTTCCATTCTTCCTCCTACCTTTAGTTCTTGCTTTCCGCTGTACATTTCCGCTTCTCCTTCAATTCTTCCTTCCTTCCTTCCTTCCTTCTTCCTTCCTTCTTCCCATCTTCCTTCCTCCTTTCCTCCCTCCATCCACTCCCTTCCACTCCTTTCATTCTTCCTTTCCACACTTCCTCCTTTTTCTATTCTATCCTTCCTTTCCTTTCATCCTTCCTGAACTTCTCTCCCCATCCTTCCCTTCTTTTCTTCCTATCCTTCCCTTCCTTCCTCTTTCTTCCTCCATTCTCTTTTTTTTCACCCCCCTCCCCATCTCCATTTCCTTCCATTCTTCCTTCATCCCTTCCCTTCTTATATCATTTCCATCCTTTCCCTTCTTTTATTCTTCTTCCTTCCCTCATTCCTCTTTTTTCATTTCCTCCCCTCCTTCCCTCCATCCCTTCCTACCTTCCTTTCTTGCTTCCCTTCCTGCCCTTCCTTCCTGATTTCTTCCCCTTCCTTCATTTCTTTTCTTCTATACCTTCCTCCCTCCTTCCCTCTTTTCACTTTCCTTTCTTTTCTTTTCCTTTTTCCTCCTGCCTTCTTTTTTCCTTCCCTTCCTCCCCTCCTTTTCTTCCTTTACTTTTTTCCTATCCTCCCTCCCCATTATTCCTTCATTCTTTCTTACCTACCTTATTTCTTTCTATCTTCCTTCCCTCCTTCCTTCTCCACTCCTTTCTTTCTTCCTTTCTTCCTCAAATCCTTCCTTCCTTTCTTTTCCTTTCCTTTCTTTCTTTTTTTCTTTCCTTTCCTTTCTTTTCCTTCTTTCCTTCCTTCCTTCCTTTCACTTCCCTTTTCTTCCCTTCCCCTCTTTTTTTCTTTCCTTCATTTTTCCTTCCTTTCTTCTTTCCTCTCTCCTTTCTTCCCTTTCTTCATTCTTTCCTTTCCTCTTTTCCTCCCTTTCCTATCCTATCCTTCCTTCCCTTCCTTTCTTTCTTTCTTCCCTCCCTCCCTCCCTCCTTCCCATTCCTTCCTT